TTGGCTTCTCGTTGGAGCTCCTTGGGGGGGCCCCGAGGGTGGCGCCCAGGAGCAACACCATAGCTGAGGGACCTTGCTGGGACCTTGCTGGGACTTTGCCAGGACCTTGCTGGACATCTCGCATAGTATTTTTCGCCCGTGAATCCCCAGGGGCGGCCCCGCGCACGCGAATTTGACATATTCGAACCCTGTTACCGGAGATCTCAGCACGCCCCCCTGGACCGTTGGGCCAGCAAATTTTGGTTGGCAGCCGGGTTTCGACAGTTGTCAGCGACCTCGCCGTTAAAGACGATACAGTGGAGACCCATGCCAAGAAACACCTTGCTTGCCTCCAGGGTGCCCTGGGTTTCTTGGGTTTCGATGGTTTTGGGATGGACAGCGTGACGTTCCCACATCAAAAACCAGTGGACGTCCTGGGGTCTCAGGGCTGGGTTTCTTGTGGAAGGTTTCCTGTGGGTCGAGCCCCTACTGTAAGTCTCAGCCGAGTCACCGCCATCCCACATGACTACATCCTTGAGCCCCTGGAGGCCTCGCTGACTTGCCGTGGGGCCTCTTTTGCCCTCTTGGAGGCGTCTCTCTTGGACCGTCTTGGTGCCCCGAGGAGCAGGTTTGCCCTCCTCCTCTCTCCCTCTTCGCCCCCCGCCCCTCGACCCTCCCTTCTCGCTCACCTCCTCCTCGCTCCTCGCTCCCCCATCCTCTTCGCCTCCTCGCCCCGCCCCCTTCGCTCCTCCCTCACCCCATCCCTCGCTCCTCCCTCGCCGAGTGCCGCCCTCGCCCGGACCAGCCAGCGGCTGCACCAGCTGCGCCATCCCCGCCCCCCCCCCTCCCAAAAATCCTCCCCAGACCCCCGAAATGGCGTGACTCTTCCACGACGTCGGCCCCCCCCAGAGGCCTGAACACCCACTCCCCAGCGCCGGTTTTCCGTGCCGAGCCCTTCTCTGACGGCCCCCGGAGGCCGAAGGCAGCGACAAGCCTCCCGCGCTGCGGCTTTCTCACAGCGCGAGGAGGCCTGGCCCCCTCGCTCAGTGGGCCCCGGAAACGGCAGGGCCGTTTTTTCACCGTTTCCAAAGAACTGCCCCTTGGACATGGAAGCGGCAAAAAAACGGCGACCGGAAACGGCAACAAAAACGGCTCCAGGATTGGAACCGGAGCCGGAACCGGTCAAACAACGGTGACGGAACCGGTAAAAAAAACGGCGTCGGAACCGGCAACAAAAACCGCAAAGCGGAACCGGTAACAAAAACGGCCCTGTCGCTTCCAGGGCCCACTAACAGGGGACCACATGCGATCCCTCCCCCTCAGAAATCGTGGGGGGGTAGGGGTTAGGGCGACGATATCTATACATATCCACCGCTCCCGGCCAGGCCAATCCTGGGCCCAAGAGCTGCGTCTACGCCCTCCTGGCTCGGCCAGGGAGGCACATGCACCGCTCCTGGGCCCAGGATGGGCCTGGCCAGGAGCAGTGGCTATGCACAGATCTCGTCGCGTTCGCATGTGGCTCCCTAAGTAACTGAGCTCCCTCGCTCCCCGCCTCTCGACCCTCGGGGGCCGCCGCGGGGCCCCGGCCGCGCCGCCGCGGCCGCCGCTGCCGTCGGGCACGAGGCCTTCGGCGACCGCCTCGACCTGGCCGGCGTGATCGGCGCGGGCGGCAGCTCCGTGCAGCTCTCGGAGCCGCCCGGCCGCCCGCGCGCCCCCCCCCCGGGGGGGGGGGGGTACTCCAGGTCTCGTGATAGAGGGAGGGGGCCTCATTTCGGGGGGGGGTCTCTTCCAGGCTGCCCTTCACAACTGTTTTTTTTTCTGAAAGGGGCGGTTGGGGTGTGCTGGCGTTGCACGTGGCCGGCACCATGCCGGCCCCCCCCCCCCGCCGCCGCCGCCCTTGTCGAACACCGCTGCGAAGTGATCGATCGGTCGTCGTTTTCTTGTTCATTGTTGTGCCGATCGGCGCGGGCCCTCGGCCTCGGAGGGCACCAACTATACACCAACACCGATCCTGGCCCAGGATCACCCTGGGCCCAGGATCGGTGTATATGCCTTCTTGCGCAAGGCAGGAGGGCGTATACACCGATCCTGGGCCCAGGGTGATCCTGGCCAGGATCGGTGTTGGTGTATAGTTGGTGCCCTCCTACGGCCCCTCCCCTCCCTCCCATCGAGCAGATCTTGGCTGTTTTTGGCGCGTGTTTCGAGCAGGTGGGGTCTCCCCCCACAGGACGCACGGTTCCAAACAGTCGCACTGAGCAGAGGTCTGGGGCCAGACCCCCCCCCCGCTCCCCGTTTCCTCCCAGCGTCGAAGCGCCGAAGAAGACAAAGCGCACCTGGTGCCCTCGCATGGTCCAGATTTTGGATCAAAGTGCACTGCTGTATTTCTTGTTGCAGGGGATGGTCGGGGGGGGTTGGCATTTCGCGCAGCAGGCACTCTGCCGCCCCCCCGCCGTCCCTCTCAAAAACCAGTGCAGCGTGACCGCGGGGCGCCCGCGGACGATGCAGACTTTGGTGCAACGCGTTCTTTTTGTGCAGTTTTTGTGCAAGGGATGGTGACGGGTGTTGGCATGACCCTACAGCAGGCACACTTGCCGCCCCCCCCCCCGCCGTCCCTGTCAAACACCAGTGCAAAGTGATCGCGGTGCGCCCGCACACTAATCCATGTCTCGGTGCGTCCTGCATCTTTTTGCACTGCTTTTTGGTGGGGCTGGGGGGGAGTGGTTCCGCATGGGTCCGGGCTGGCTGCCCGTCGTGTGGTGGAGGGGGTGCTTACTAACAGTGAACAGCAATCGAGCTACCCCAAGCCGCAGTCCGTGTCGCTCACTCCCACCCGCCCTCCCACTTCAGAAATAGCACCCGAGTCCCAGCACAGGCAGGGGCCGCCATCGACGACTATCGGGAATCAATGCAGACGCCAGTCAGGCGCGCGATGCCCGTGAGATGCGCGGCACGTGCCGGGTGCGCCACGCGCACCAGGTGCGCCATGCGCACCATGTGCGCCATATCTGGCAATCTGTCGATGCTCCAGAGTCCCTGTCAAAATCAAATGCAACATGACGGCGGGTTTGCGAGCATTGTGGGCTTTCTATGGGTGTCCACCCGCAATCATTCTGCACTCGCTCTTGAACGGGATCGTGAGCCTGCTCACACCAGGCAGCAGGCCGCCCCACCCGCCGTCCCTGGAAAGGTGAACGAGGGATGGTGGGCCTGAGTTATGCCGGCCCCCCCCGCCGTTCGTGTCAAAAACCGCTGTGGCGTGACGGGTACTATGTGAAGCGCACGCCGCGTTGCACGTGGGCAAAGGCCCAGGCTCTTCGCCCCTCCTCGCTTTGGTCCCTTTCGTCCTCTTCCTCCTTCTTGCTCTGCTTCTCGTCTTCCTCCTTGCACCGCTGTCCGCGGATCACTCGCGATCGCACAGACTGCTGCTGTGCCCGCTGACCCTCTCAGTAAAAAAAGAACCAGCGCGAAGTGATCGTGGGGCGTCCGCGCATGATCCAGGTTTTGGTGCAGCGTGCATTCTGTCTTGAACTGTGAAGGGATGGTGACGGGTCTTGGCGTTGCACACAGCTGGCAATTCGCCAGCACTCCGCCGTCCCTGTCAAAAGCCAATGCGAAGCGACCGCGGTGCGTTCGCGCATGGTCCATATTTTGGTGCAAAGTGCACTTTGCATCGTTTTTCGCAAGGGTTGGTTGGGAGGTGCTGGCGTTGCACACAGCAGGCAATGAGCCGGCACCCCCGCCGTCTCTGTCAAAAAACACTGCAAAGTGATCGCGGTGCGTCCGCCGTGACCCATATCTCGGTGCAGCGGGCATTCTGTCTTTTTTGGTTTGTGGCAGAGATGGTTGGGAGCGGTGGCATGGTCCCAGGCTTGTCTCCTGTCGGGTGGGGGACGAGTGAACAGCTTTCCCTGAAGCGGAAGAGGGGGGTTGGAAGAGGAAGCCCGTGATGCCGTTTTGCTCCCCCAGGGGACGGTGGAGTATATTTTTTTCAGTTTTCGAAGCTTTGGCAATGACTAGCGCTATTTGGAGGCGAGGGAAAGGTGGGGAGGGTGCCTGTAGCGTCACGATTTGTGCTGGCTGGGAATGAGGCACGTACCCTGGGCACTCTCAGGCGGCGCCGGCGGGAGTCGTGACGTTGCCAGGGAGATGGGGGGGAAGCCCCGATACCGGGCGTTGTCGCGTATTGCTAGCAGGAGCGAGCTCGTGGCGCGGGCCTGGCGCTGAGATAGGAGTCGGGCCTTGCCTTCAGCCCCCCAGCCAGCGTCTTTCAGACAGCGAGAGGAGCTCGTCTCCGACTCGGTGGTGACGACCCCGTGGGGCGCCAGGAACGTCTTCGTCGGGGACGGAGCGTACTCGCAGTTCAGGTCGCACGCCCGAAATGCGCACGGGGAAAAGCGGGTACGATGCCCATCAGCATCTTCTGCCCAACTCCAACATCGGCCGCCGTCGGGCAGGCGATTGTGCTCCCTAGAGGACACGGCTCTCGGCGACACCGACGGCGAGTGCTGCTCGGACTGGGCAGGAACTGCTGTTGGTTTTCGCCCCCCGCCCGCATTCCCTGAGATCCAGCGTTTCGAAAGATTTGGCGTCTCGAAAAAAACACGACCAACTGGTTGGTTTCCCCCCCTCCTTCCCCCCCCTTCTTCCTCCTCCGCCTCCTCCCCCTCCTCCGGCCGCGCATGTTGTCAATTATGCGACCGCCGTCGTGCCGCCGCTCCCGCAAAGCGGTGAGAATAGGCCGGCCGTGTCTTCTTTCGCCCACGCGCTCCGGCGTATGGCATGAGTGAGTGAGTGAAAAAACACGACAAGAGCCCCGCAGACCCAATCTTTCTGCGGCGTTTTTCGAGCCGGATCGGCCCGTGATGGCCCCGGAGCCCGCAGCCAGGCGAAATCTCCTGGCGTGACAAGACTGCAGCGCCCAGACTTCTGAGCATCGGCATCACCCCAACATGCTAATACTATGTGTGCGTCGTCCCCCCAGGGGCGACGCTCGCGCCGAGAAATCTTAATCTGAAGGAGTTTGTCTTCAGAACTCACGGCATCCCGAACCCTGGCGCGCGAGGGAATGGGCCCGCCAACCGCCCCCACTGCTCCATTTCGGGGAAATCCGGGAAACCCGGCGACGAATTCCAAACCGGCGCCCTCGCGTGGGACGTCCTCAGAAAACCAGCCCCCCGAGCCTCCCCAACCAAGGGGGCCCTCAGAGCCACCCTTGTTCTGTTTTGGGGAAATCCAGGATCAGACTAGGTCGACTGCGTGGCGGTGTCGGGCGTGAAACTGTTGGGTGGGGTGTTGGGCCAGGTCCCCACCAGGTCCCCGCCAGGTGGCGACCTGGTGGGGACCTGGTGGGGAATTTTTGGGGACCTCGTGGCGACAGGGTTGATTCCGGGCCATGTATTTTCGGTTGGGGGAGCCGCAGAACAGAGCTCCCAGGAAGGCGCGGGGGCCAGGGACATGGTGGGGATCTCATGGCGACAGGGTTGATTCCGGGCCAGGTATTGTCTGTTGGGGGGGGGGGCCAAGAACAGAGCTCCCAGGAGGGTGCGGGGGTCGGACCGGGTGGCTACCTGGTGGGGACCTGGTGAGGACATGGTGGGTTCCGGGCTGGGAGGAGGAGGAAGAGGAGGAGGAGGAGGAGGAGGAGGAGGAGGAGGAGGAGGAGGAGGAGGAGGAGGAGGAGGAGGGGGAGGGGGGGGTACCCAAGAACAGCTGCCAGGAAGGCGCGGTGGTCGGACCAGGCACCTACACACAGGGGCTGCAGGAGGCTGAGACAGCGGCCGTGGTGATGATGAGGGCTGGGGCTTGTCGAGTTATCGTTTCGGCCGAACGGCAAACCGCAAAGGTGTGTCTGAGGTCGTCAACAGGTGAGCAGTTCATCCTCACACGCCTGTGGGGTCGGCGGATCCCTGTTCGAACAGAAAAATGATGTAACACGTCTTAATCCTGCTAAATGCTGGTTTAATGCAGCTTAATTCGGCTTGATCCCGCTCGGCTCAGTGGTCCCTTATTATTGGGCTCAGCAGCCCGTCGGCGTGCTGACCAAGACATCCCAGGCGTTGCCTCCTTACTTCTGCCTCTCGCAGGGAGCGCTTCACCGAACCTACCCTCGAGAGCTTCCTGGGCGCCTTCGAGGCGGCGTACGGCGCGGCGCCGGGCAAGCGGAGCCTGCGCGAGGTCCGGCTGCAAGCGCAGCGCGCGTCCGCCGAGTCGCAGTCCGGCGGCCCGCCTTTCGTGGGCACCTGGGTGGCGATGAGCGGCCTGTGCATCGCGGCCCAGGACGTCCCCCCGGACGCTCCCTGGCGAGCCGATCCGATTCGGTGTCGTGCTGTTTGCTCCGGCTCTGGTGTGGGTACGGCTGGGCTCTCGCGGCTGACGGGGGCAGGGAGGGAGCTCGCGCGCGCCGCCGCCCAGAGACCGGCGGCGCGGTGAGGGGGCTCCCGCGACCCGTGCGCGCGCCCGCCCCGCTCCCTTTTTCACGGGTGTCGTCCTCGCGGTCCGAGGCCTGAGGTCCAGGGGCATTCTCGTGGGCTCTCGGCGCCTCTCCAGCGTCGGGGTGCTCTCCTGCAGCGGCGGCGCTCCTCCGGGGGGCGTTCCAGGGGTTCACCACCCACCAAACCACCCCAACCCAACCCGAAGGCTCAGATTTACCCTCGATTTCCAGTGGGGGGGGGGGGGGGTCGGGGAACATCGAAAAAGCACACGTGGAACCCTTACCCCCCCCAACCCGAAACTCGGGTCTTCGGGTTGGGTTGGTGTGGTCTGGTAGGTGGTCAGGGGTGCCAGAACCCTCCCGAACGGCCACGCGAGACCCCCCGAGCTGTGACCTGACAGCCAGAGGGCAAGGCATCATCGAGCCTTGATCCACCACCCAGGGGTCATTGCGATCCGGTCGATAGGAATTCAGTATCGGTTCTTGCTGGTTCGGTCCGGTTCGACTCTTTGCTTCTCAGAGGAGGAAGAGATACCGATGCTGCCACCCTTTCCTCGTTGCCATGCCTGGATTCGCTTCGACACTTTGGTCAGAGCGCACCCCTGGAAAAGTCCAGGACGTGTCGGTGCCGGTACCTTTTTGCCCCCCCAGTTCTGGCGGTCAGATGCGGCCTGATGCTTGCATGGCGCTGTTGTGCATCCTGGCGCGGCCGATCAGTCTCGATTATCGGGTCTGACGGAAAGGGGGGGGGATTGGAAAAGGGGGGTTGCGACATATTCCGCTCGCAGTTGGTCTCGGCCCCGCGACTCGAAGCATAAGAGCAGCTGCGCAAACATGAACACCTCGAGGGTCCGCTTGAATTTCCCGATTCGGCGCTGGACCCTCCGGGCGGCGCCTGGCGCGTACCTCGCGGAGCTCCGAGAGTGGATCGGGTCGGGCGAGGATCGGGTATAGCCAGGCCCCTTGTGATCGGGCCCCGAAGTCCAAAATATTCACGAGATCAGGTCCGCCGCTGGTGTTGTTCGGTTGACGGCATTTCCAGTTCGTGGACTGGAGCGGGGGGGGCGTCCCTGGGTGCACATCATTACATCAGGTCCCACTAAACCCAGTCCTGACAGCGCCCGAGAGGAGGGGTGGGGCTAGGGGAAAGGGGTGGCTGCGAGAGCTGCTGCTTGCAGCTTGGTCTCGGCCCCGGCGCCGGGCGCTCCACTTTGCACACCGGCGCCGCCAGCGCCGGGAGGCGCCAGAGAAGCCAGCTGCGCGAATGGGTTCGCCAGAACCCCCGTCGTTCATCCGCGCCTTGGCAGGACATCCCGGGGCTGAAGGATTTCGCCAAGCACTACCTCAACGCCGAGGTTAGCAAGCCAGTGGCGGTCAGCGTGGCCCAGGAGCACTACCTTCACTACCTGGTGGACTTCGCCGAGCGCGACGAGCCGCCGGGCTCCGTGCCGCCAAGCGAGCGTAGGTCACCCGCCAGTGCCGCGGTGATGTTGTGGCACCTGCTCCGCTTCTTCTCGGGGGACGCGGCGCTCCGCTTCGCCAAGAAGGTCGACGGCATCGACCTCTCGGTGAACGCCGGGTATGCGCTGCGAAAGTTCAGCCAAGAGGCTTATGCCTTTCCGCCAAACTCCAGAGGAGTAAGTCAGTGTACGCTCTCTTGGACTACTCTTAGCTCTCTGTTTGGGCCTTCTTGGGCAGTCTTGGGGCTCTTCGGAGGCTCCAGAAACACCAGGCGAAGCGTTGACAAGCTCATGGGCGTGGGGGGGCGGCAGCCAAATATCTCGCATGCCTTGTCACCCCCGGCAAGCTGGGGATCGGCGGACTTGCTCCTCCACGTCAAACTTGATCATATAGTACGTCGTCTACTGACGAACCGCGCGTGCTGGCGGCGCGGTGGGAACCGTGCGGCGCACCACTGTCTTCGTGCGCATCGCCAGACGGGGGCGTACAAAGGGGGAATCATGGCAGGCTCGCGCCGTAACGACGCGGCGGTGGCCCCAACGGCGCGGGCGCTCGAGGCTGTCGGCCGCCCACTGGCCTCGAGTCGGCCGACATCGAGAGATCGGCACTGCTGGAAAGCCGCGATCCCTCGAGGTTCTCAGGGTGGAGCGACCCACTCGGGGTCCGAAACTGGCGCCGACGCGTCGTCGCGGCGCGAGCTCGCCGCAGGCTCCCCGGGGGAGGCGTCGGCCCCGAGCCGCCCGCGAGTAACCGATCGGGCGTTGCCAGAAGTGTCCCTGGCCCAAGGTGCCCCCCAGCTTGTCGCTCCATTTTGGAGGCCCTGGGGCCCTCTGGACCCTGCGAGGGGTGCCTTGGAGGCCAATCTGGGCCACCCCGAGAATCCTGGGGGTGCCTTGGGCCAGGGGTACTTCTGGCAACACCCGAGCCGAACGGGTCGTGGAGTGCCCCCCCTGCGCCCTGAAGCTTTTTCTGTTTCGCTGTCGGGAGCCTGTCGGCGATGCGCCGTCGATTCGCGGTCGGTGTTGGGCCTCTTGTTTATATCCCCCTGCGTCTTCCCCTCGGCTGTGCTGAGCTCGTGACGCGCGGGGCAACTGCCCGATGTGTCCCAGGTCCCTCCGCGAGGCGGCCGGCGCGAGCTTGTTTTTCGGGGGAGACTGGGGGGGGGGGCTCTGAGATCGGGAGGGGAAAAGACACAGACACAAGCAATCGTCGACTCCCGGGAAAATATGGGGAAATATTGGAATTCCTATGTTTTCCCACATTGAGTGGGAAGATATGGGAAAATATGGGAACATCGTCTTCCCCCCACTTAAGTGGGGGGAAGACGCCCAGAAAATATTGAAATCTGGTGAAGCCTGGGCCCCTTCACAAGAGAGAGGGGGGGAGCAGGCCCCACGTGTTGAGCACAGGCGATCTGCCAGGAGGAGGAGGAGGAGGAGGAGGAGGAGGAGGAGGAGGAGAGGAGGAGGAGGAGGAGGAGGAGGAGGAGGAGGAGCAGGAGCAGGAGCAGGAGGAGGAGAGGGGAGGAGGAGGAGGAGGAGGAGGAGGAGGAGGAGGAGGAGGATAGCAGGAAGAGCAGGAGGAGGAGGAGCAGGAGGAGGAGGAGGAGGAGGCGGAGGAGGAGGAGGAGGAGGAGGCAGGAGGAGGAGGAGGAGCAGGAGGAGGCGGAGGAGGAGGAGGAGGCGGAGGCGGGGCGGAGGAGGAGGAGGAGGAGGATGAGGAGGAGGAGGAGGAGGAGGAGGAGGAGGAGGAGGAGGAGGAGGAGGAGGAGGAGGAGTGCGGCTGACGGCCTTTTGCCTGATTGTGCCAGGCACGCTCTCAGTGATCCGTCGCCTGGCGCGATTCGGGCGTGCTCCTCTGCGCGTGGTCCCCAGATGTCTGGGCGACGTGCTCACCTCGGCAGAGCCTTCGAGGCTTGTGGCAGCCGCCGGCTGCCTCGTGCCCTGGGAGCACTCGCCTGCCACACGTCCGTTCAGTACAGACGCGTGCGCCCTTTGCGTCGAGTCGCAGCTTTCCGACGAAGACGGGGGCCAGGAGCGGCGGGCTGGTAGTATGGCAGGGCATCCGAGTCTGGCACGGCAGCGGTCCGAGGCTCCACTGCTGGAGCGGCAGAGTGGGAGCGGCTCCTGAGGGATCTCAGTGAGCCTCCACGTTGGCTCCTAATACGATGCAGGTGGACGCGCGGAGGCATTTGGTGTCTCCGACCTCGCTCGGTCCGCGATTGTGTACATTGACTCGGGCTCCGTCCGCAGTTCGGCTGCTGTTTCAAGGAACACCTTGGTGATCCCTCTTTTCGGCGTACGTCTGCCTCCTCCTGGCTCAGGCATGCCCATGCGAAAGGTGGACGTGTAGCTTCCTTGAGTCCATCGCTGTGTTCTCGGAGGAAGCGTAGGCTTACCGTTGTTTCTGCTTGAGGTGTTACCTCGCATCGGTGATGCTGTTCACGCGGTTATGTCTTCCAATGAACGCATCATGCTTTGTATCACGCCCAGCAGTGGCGCAACAGTCGCCTTACTTGTTTGTCTCTCTCTCTCTCTGGAACGAATGACAATCTAACAGTCGAGTATCCTACGAGTTCATTGCCCGTTCCTGAATCCTGCCATCGCCGTGCCTTTTGAACGCACGCGTCTGAGCCCCCAGTAAAAGGGCAAGCGACGAAAGGGAGGCTCAAGACAAGAGGGCGAGGCACTGCAATCTATAGGAGGCGACGGGGGCAGGGTACACTTCGATCTGGCCGACCCCGATTCGATGTCGATCCCAGCTGGCCCGATCCGATTCGATTCCGATATTCCGACGAGCCGATGTGGCTCGGTGTTTGCATGGCGCTGTTGTGCATCCTGGTGCGGCCGATCCAGTCCGATTCCGGCTCCGTGTCGGTGCGGCCCAGTTCGACGCACGCTCCTAATTGACTCGAGTTCCCGACTCGATGCCGACCGATCCTGCAGGGGATCGAGGTGGGATCGGGAGACGGGCTAGGGCAGCGAGACGACGGGGCCGAGCAGCGACCCTCGAAGAAGGCTGGCGACGCGACAGAAGTCGGAAGGGGCTGGGACGAGGACAAGTCCGTTCCAGAGCGCTCGGGAGCGCTCTGAGAATGCCGCCGTGCCCGAGGCATCCTCCGGAGCCGCCGGGGATCTCAGAGATTCTCGATCCATCCTCACCCGACTTTATCCTCGTCCTGGCTTCTTTTCTTACGGCCAACGGCCACGCGACAGAAGACGGCTTCCAGCGGCCAGTGGGAGCGAGCCATGCTGCTGCTGCGCGCGATGGAGTCCAGCGGCGTGGCGCCCAACGCCATCAGCCGCGGCCCCGGCTTCCCTACCCGGACGGCGGCGGGGCGGGCGCGGCGGAGCGAGGGCTTGAGGGTCGGGCGTGTCCCTTTGCAGGAGGAGTATGCACAAGCAGTAATCAAAATAGTCTGGGGACGATTTGTTATTTTTATTATTTTGGGAGCATTTTCTTGACAGTTTTTAATTTCTCGTCCAGAATATCTGCCTGTAGGGGGACGCCCGACCTAAGCCTATTGGGCCGTGCACCCCTGTGGCAAGCAAAGAGGGGGCGGCAGATCGAAGTCATCAACGGCGAACCATCGCCGCTCCCTGCCCGTTTGGACGCGCCAATGTGGCCCAGCTTTGTGTCCAGAGCTTGGACAAGCTATCGGACCATCTGTTCCCCGAGTCGCTGTGGAAACGCTTGGGGGGAACTCTTGAAGGAGAAGGATGAAGAGGAAGAGAGGGAGGAACACTTGAGAGGAGGAGGAGGAGGAGGAGGAGGACACCTCTTGGGAGCCTCCAGGGGCACTCTTGGGGCCTCATGGGAGCTCCTTGGGCCTCTAAGGGGCCAGAGGCCATCTTAGGGCGTTCCTGGCCCGTCTGGCGCAGCGTCCTGGGGGCCTCTCTGAACGGATTTTGGGTACTCTTGGGGCCCGTCAGGCCGTCTTGGAGGCCATCTTGGGCGTCTTGAAGGCCTCTTTGCCCGTTTTGAGCCCTTTCGGGGCCGTCTTGGGGGCTTCTCGGGCCGTCATAGGGGCCATCTGACGCTCCTGGGGCCATGTTGGGACCTCTTGGGCCATCTTGGGCCGTCGGGAATCAGAAAGGAAGCAAACTTCAGCATCCTTCAAACACCTGCGGATTTTCAATGATTTTCGTTTCGTTGTCGTCAGAGATGCCTTGCCACGAGCGCGCGGGCAAAAAACCGGACGAGCGCGAGCAGTGAATGGATGGATGGCGCGATCATCGAAGCGTCGACTGAACTTGCGGATGATACCAATCGCGTCAGCGTCGGTGTTGGTTTCTGACAACGTGTGGTTCCATGGTTCTGTCAGCACTGTTCAACGTCGGGAAACTTGGACTCACAGGCAGTTGTGAACCTTGTTTGCCTGCGCTGCGGTCACTGCCGCGTCGACGCCCTTCAAGTCCCCGGCGGAGCAGGCGGTTGGCAGGGCCCCCCCCCATTCGAGCGGGCACGAGACGGGAACGAGAATGAGAACGAAGGCGGGCACGAAAGCGGGAACGAGGGCGGAAACGAGAAGGGAAAATGGAAGGGAACGAAGGCGAGCACGAGGGCGGATGCGAGGGCGGGAACGAGGGCGAAAACGAGAACGGGAACCAGAGCGGAAGCAACAACGAGAAAAAGGTCCGAAACGAATGCGGGAACGAAGGAAAAACATGATACCAGCGAAAAACCCCAATCAGGGCTATAGGGCTAGGGGGCTATAGGGCTATAGGGCTGTAGGGCTATTGAGCTATAGGGTTATAGAGCTATAGGGCTATAGAGTTGTAGGGCTATAGGGCTATTGGGCTATTGGGCTATTGGGCTACAGGGCTATAAGGCTATAGGGCTATAGGGCACGCCCGGGCACCCCCAGGTACGCCCGGGTACCCGGGCACCCGGGCACCCGGGCACCCCCAGGCACCCCCCGGGCACCCCCAGGCACCCCCCGGGCACCTGGGCGTGCAGCGAAAATCGGCGGCCAACCTCACCCCCGGGCACCCCCGGGCACCCGGGCACCCGGGCGTGCAGCGAAAATCGGCGGCCACGCTAACCTAACCATATGAATCCGCTATTGGACCTCTACAGAGGCAAGCTCTGATTGGGGAATATGCGATGACGAAAGCGAGGACAAAGGCGAGACCGAAGGCGGAAACGAAGGCGATAACGAAGGCGAGAACGCATGCGAGAACGAAGGCTCGAAGGCGGGAACGAGGGCGGATCCGAGAACGAAGTCGAGAACGAAAGCGAGAACGAAAGCGAGAACGAAGGCGAGAACAAAGGCGGGAACGAAGGCGATAACGGATGCGAGAGCGAAAACGAAAACGAGTGCGGAAACGAAGGCGAGAAGAAAGAGAAAGCGAGTGCGGAAACGAGGGCGAGCACGAAGGCGAGAGCAACAGCGGGAACGAAGGCGATAACGAAGGCGAGAACAGAAGCGGGAACGAAGGCGAGAACGAAGGCGAGAACAAAAGCGAGAATGAAGGCGGGAACGAAGGCCAACACGTAACAACAAGGAAAGCGGAATCGAAGGCGGGGACGAAGGCGCGACCGAAGGCGAGAACTTAAGCGACAACGAAGGCAGGAAGGAAGGCGAGAACGAAGGCGACAACGCATGCGGGAATGGCGGGAACGAGGGCGAAAACGAGAACAATAACAACAACGGAAACGAAGGCGCGAACGAAGGCGAAAACGAAGGCGAGAGCGAAAGGAAGAACGAAGGTGGGAACGAAGAGGGGAACGAAGGCGAGCACGAAGGCGAAAACGAAGGCCGGAACGAGGGCACGACGAAGACCCGATGGGTTTTCGGAAGATCCTGGGACTAGTTTGGGAAGTCCCGGGGGAGTGGTTTGGGAAGACCCAGTTCGTTTGAGAAGATCCAGCGGTTGGTTTGGGAAGGCCTGGTTCGTTTGGGAAGACCCCGGCGGTTGGTTTGGGAAGGCCTGGTTGGTTTGGGAAGACCCGGGCGGTTGGTTTGGGAAGGCCTGGTTGGTTTGGGAAGACCCGGGCGGTAGGTTTGGGAGGACTTGGATGGTTTGGGAAGACCCGGGCGGTTGATTTGGGGTGACCAGGTTGGTCTGGGAAGACCCGCGGTGTGGTTTGGGAAAACCCGTTCGTCTTGTCCCGCAGCATTTGGGTTGGGAAGATCCGTTTGGTTTGGGCAAACCCTGCCTCGGCCCCCCTCCCCCCGCTCCCTATGCGCGCGGGGCGCGCCCCCCCCCCCCCCAGAACGCTTTGGAACGGCCGCGGCACCCGACGCGTCCTCCAGACCTTCCGGTTCTCAGGGATTCCAGGCTTATCCTACTCAGATTCGGAGGACGCGTACAAGGGAGGGGGATAAAGGGGGTGACAGCGAGGGCTGCGGAAAAGGGGCCGTCCAGGGCCCCCATAGAGGCCTCTCGGACCCAGAAGGGGGCCTTCAGGGCCCGAAAATGGCACCTTTCTTCCCCCCATTATCGCTCCCCATTGCTTCGCGCCCAACAAGCGTAAGAGCGACCCTTCGCCCGAATGACCTTTGGTACGGGCCCATTGGGGTCCTCCGACCGCAGAGCGTGATGCGATTGCATCGGCTTGCGCGCTCGGGTTGGCCCCCCCCAGGAGGAGGAGGAGGAGGAGGAGGAGGAGGAGGAGGAGGAGGAGGGAGGAGGAGGAGGAGGAGGAGGAAGAGGAGGATGAGGAAGAGGAGGAGGCGGAGGAGGAAAAAGAGGAGGAAGAGGAGGAAAAAATGGGACGAGGGGGAGGAGGAGGAGGAGGAGGAGGAAGAGGAGGAGGAGGAGGAGGAGGAGGAGGAGGAAGAGGAGGATGAGCAAGAGGAGGAGGCGGAGGAGGAAAAAGAGGAGGAAGAGGAGGAAAAAAGGGGAGGAGGAGGAGGAGGAGGAGGAGGAGGAGGAGGAGGAGGAGAAGAACGCATCATAGTAATGGTAAATATAATAAGAAGGAGCATCGGGTTACTTACAATAATGATAGCACTAATTCAGATAGCTACTAAGGAACGTCATAATAGTCTGTAAGAGTAATCAACATATGGGAAATATGAGGACTAATTCAGCTAATGCGAATAATATTGGTAGCAATATTACGAATAACAGTATAAAGACGAACACTGCGAATAATGCTAATAATGACAATACGAATGATAC